AAAAAAAAAAAAAAAAAAAAAAATAATTTCTTCAGATACTTGACCATTATATATATACAACCTGAGTTATGATGAATATAAGAAGACATTGAGAATGAAAATAACACTTGGTTAAATGTCTTCGTTTGCTGAGGCTCTAATATATGTATTTCTGGTCATGTTTCCTAAGTCACATATTCATTACAGCAAATATGAAAACATACAGGGGTCTTTTTTATCTAAAAGCTCAGAGGTTATCATGTAGCTCTTCATTATCTGGTTTAGTCTTGTCTAAGAAGCAAATCAGTTCCAGTTTACATGCAGATTGTATTCTAAAATGCTTGGAAGTTAAATAATCTTTTGTATTTTTTTTAGAGAAATAATGCTATAAATGGTATTACTGCTCCCCTACCCCCAAGATTAGCTCATGAAAATTCTTTGGTCCTATAATGTAGCATACAAGACCATATTTTTTTCCAAAGAAAATACCATAGCTAGTAAGTAATTAGGAAAACAAACTTGAGAAAGTATTTATCTTGGATCATGGTATTTGTGAAAAAGGAGAGATTTGTATGAAGGGGAGATTAGCCAGAGTGGAATTAACTGAGTTGAGAAGATGAAAGTCAGGAAGGGGGTGGTACTCACTGAAAAATCAGGTGCATGACTGAAGGAGGTTAGTAAAGATACTTCCCATCACAGTCTTCTGAGGCATAGTTGCCTGGAGAATAGGTGGGTAAAGATTAGCTATTCCTTTAGTTAGTTTTTTAAAAATATTTTAAAGGGGGAACTATCCACTAAATAAGCCTTAGGAAAAGGCTTTGTAAAACCCAGAAAATCCTTGAAATTTATAACCATGAGTGATAAATAAATTTATTTTTTGTTATTACCAATGATAAAGGCAAATCTTACACTAAAGCTTTTCTATATTGATTGCTTTTTATTTTGAGTATATTATACCAGAAAAACTGTTCTGATACCATTCTTCTGAAGGTCTATTTACAATTAAAGCAAAGAATTAGTACTATTTCAGTTTACCTCTACTGCCTCGTGAAACATTATTTCTGTGGCAGAATACATCCACCAATTGTTTGAGTACCTACTGTGTGCCAGGCATTCTTCTGATACTTTCACTGCAACAGTTCACAAGAGACAAGAATCCTTGATATCATGGAGTTTATTTTCTAGTAGAGATTATTTCAAAGTCAGTTTGAGAAATGCCAGCTAGTCATGTGTATTACCTTGAAGTTGGCTTAGGAAAGGTGCCTACAGGGAGAGCAGCTTGGACTCTACATTTATATCCAGTATCCTAGATAGTTTCCTAGAAGATAATGGGTAATAACTATATGGACTATTTTAAAATAGGGCAACAAAGGGCAGTTTCCTTTTAAGGAGCACAGACATGAGTCCTTACCTTCGCCCAGTCTACTGTATAAGGATTCTTCTGTTTATGAGAATGTTTGAAGTATTTACCTCTGTCATGGCAGCTGTTTGTAAAAGATATTGTGTGTTACTGCTAAATTGCCATGTAAATTAATTTATTTACTGCTAACTTAAAACTGCTATCACAGTTTTGTAGAGGCAATATCATAAGTTGTCAAGTGAATAGACTGGATCCAGACCACCTAGATTTAAATTTCAACTGCTTCTAATGTAGCGGTGTGATCTTGGGCAAGTTACTTAACCTTTCTGTGCCACAGTTTTTGAAAATGTGTAATGATAGTAGTTGGCCAATGTGAGGATGAAAAAAATGAATTAATGCCTAGCACTTGGCAAGTGCTAAATGACAGGTGTTATTGTTTCTATGCTTGATATATAGTTTATGAAAGAGCTGCTTTAAAACAATTTTTGGCAAGCACCTTATTTTGTTTAATGGTTTTATGCTTTCTAGAAGAGCAATTTGGTGTAGTGGAAATCTGGAGTTAATCTTTGGATCATCCACTGAATTGATCAATTATTAAGAGAGGAATTCAGATAAAATGATCTTTTTAATATTTTCATGTAAAATTAAAATATTTAAATATTTTTCAGTAGGTGAACATGTTGAACCTTTGGTTGTTTTTGAGCACTCAACTGGGAATTTTCTGTACAGTTTTTTGTTTAATCATGTTGTAAAGTAGTGATCCTAGACAGTTTTTATCCCACAGCTTATCAGTGGCTTAGTAATTCTCAAATTCTGAATTGTTGGATGATGTACAGATAATTCCTGTGATGTGTATTTGTGTGTTTAATTTTGTATAAACTACTTGAAAAAACAGTCCCAGTAAAAAGTAGTTCCCTAAAGTTAACCTGTATTTTGGCTTTTCATGTTACTGAGAACCTATTTCATAAAATGGTTATAATAAACTCCTAGTAAAATTTGAGTCATATAAACTAAAAATATATTATTTCCCCTAATTACAACTTAATGTGTATATGTACACTTTTGATTAATTTAAAAATGTTATAAACTTCACTTAGATTTGCTTTGTTGAGAAATTTATTGTTTTTAATGTCCCATTTCCTGCAAGACTATTTAGATTTTCATTAGTTTTTCACTCCTTCCAAAGGAAATCTTGTAGTTATGCATGGTTTAGAATCAAAACAAATGCTGTAGTCAAATTTTATTGGAGTTCAACTCCTGTATAGATGGTTGTATTTAATTCCCACAGTTATTTGTGGTTTTTCCTGAACTTTTCCTTCTGCAGCAAAGTTCTATTTTCATTAACTACACACTATTTTAAAGTAGAAGATGGTGGTGAAAGATCGGTCTGTGTTACCTTTGGATTTTTTTTCTTCGTGAAAGCAATGGCAGTCTTGATTGTAACAGAAAACTATTTGGAATTTGGACTTGAAACAGGTAATAATTAAACACAATTTTTAAAATCAGTGTTGCTTTAGTGTTAATTTTGACTTCAGTATTAAATTTTATATCTGATGTTTTTAAAAATAGCCTTGAGGTATATATTCTATAATATTCTAAATAACCTTTACTATTAAGTAAAATCTTCCTTAGTTTTGTTTTTGTTACCTTTTTCCAATAGTGCTGACCCCTCCCAATTTTTTCCTTACAGTTAAATAAATTTCTGTAATGCTAAAGTTTACTCACATACATAAAGATGCAAATTTTATGCACTCATGGAATGTACAAATATCAAAGGGATGTTTTCAAAGACTGTTCCTACTAATCAAATTTTATTGCATTATAACATACTAATTAATTAGCACATGAAAGAACTAAGCTAGTCACTTCAAAATTAAAAATGCTCTGTTTTCTAACATTTTATTTCCAAAGAAAGATTCTGTATTAAGAGTAATTTTTTCCTCTACAGGGTTTACAAATTTTTCAGACAGTGCGATGCAGTTTCTTGGAAAGCAAGGTTTAGAATCTCAGTAAGTTTTTTAAAAATTAAGCATTCCTTAAATTTAAATTTATACTTTTAGAAAAACAGCATTTACTATAAATCGTTCATTTTTAAGCAGTGAAGGAGTTTTTTTTAAATAGAACTGTCACTTGTAGAAATAGTCTTACTAGTAATTTTCACATTTGTATAAACTTAGTATCTTTCATAGAACATATTTGGATTTGCTCTTACTTGACTTCATTTGTTGCCACCAGAGATGAAACAAAATTTGTATTTGAGTCTTGTATCAATTCTATGTGGCATGTGTAGGTTGGATTGTTACAAATGTGGTTGAAGAGATTCATGATGTATAGTTCTCCAAAATCCATTATAATTCATTGAAAAGAAGTCTCTTCATAGAAGTTAGTTTATTTTATATTACTATTATTATTGTGGTTTGTAATACAATTGATTAGAAGAAAGGAAATTGGTAGAAAGTTAACTTTAAAAAATTTTCAGCTTCTTAAAATATTTTATTTTTAGGGGTCCTGTTTCAAAACTTACTTTCAAATTTTTCCTGGCTGTTTTCTGTTCACTCATTGGGGCTTTTTTGACATTTCCTGGATTACGGCTGGCTCAAATGCATCTGGATGCCTTGAATTTGGCAACAGAAAAAATTACACAGTAAGCGGAAAATGTACATAAGCACATGCAGATAAATATATGTTTTCCATCTTAATGAAGGTATATTATTGTAATGAAATAATTATTGTATAAAAATGAATATTTTGTCATAGTATTTTCTCTTTCTAGTGTAAAATTTTAAGTCCTGTGTTTAAAAAAAATACCGTCAATTACTAAATTTCTGTTTTACCTATTAAAAGGAAATAACAATATTTATGTTAGTTTCTTAGAGGTCCATATTTATGATATTATAATTTCTACAACTGCACTAAGAATCTAATGAAAATTTCCTTGTCAAACATTTAATTAAAAATTTAATTAAAAATTTGTTTATTTAAATTTTATTGAGATAATTTAATATGTTTATTTATAATATCTTGTTTAAAAGTTATTTAAAGTAAATCTGTATTCATCAGGGATGTTTGTTTTCTTAAATTATTGATGTTTTAAGATTTGTTTAATTCATTATTTTGGGATTGCTAATACTGTACAATGTTAAATTTCATAGATTACTTTTAACTACCGAATTCTATTTTAGTTCTCCAATGGAAAAATCATACTTGAATCTCTACATATAGTTCAAAGCCCATTTACTATATTCTTTTTTGCTTCTGACATTTTTTTTGTCGTTGATATAGACACCTTGACAGAACAACAGGTTTATGTCTCTTTCAGTTCATATCTAGATTCAAATTTCCATCTTGTCTTCTTGTTCCGCAGTAGAAACCCAAGTTGAAAATACTGCATTTTGAAATATGTACTCATAGTCATTAAGTATCTCTGAGTGATGTTATTTCCTAACATTTCTGCTCTTTAAAACCCTGTATTTAATGATGCAGGTTCTCTAGTCTTTTCACATTCTTATCTCTGTTATCTATGTCATTTTCATTTATTTTTATTTTGACAGTCTTTTTAATTTTTTCCTTACCTCATTTTTCTACATAAGCTTTGTGTGTGTGTTTACTTTTTCTCACCTCCCAGTACACACTCCCTCTTTCTTACCCTCCTTTTACCGAGCATGCTTTTGGCTACATCTTGCCTTTCTCCCAGCATCCGTCACCCTAATAGCTTCTTTTAAAACAAAACCTGCCCCCCCACCTTTGTACACACACTTCAGTCCACTAACCCCCCCAGTGTTATGATTTAAATGAACTGAAAGGGTGGGTGGAGGGGAGCCCTTCACCAGCCACTGAAACCGCTGTGGGCTGCTCCTTGATACTTGAGTGTTCCCTAGCAACACTGCATACCTAATATTGCTGCTTTCTTCCCCACACCCGGTGGTTTGCCCAGGGTGTGGGATGAAAGAATCACTATTTTATCAAAACATTTAAAGCATTTAGTGATGTGGTGGGGGAGGCACTTTTTAGTTTAATTTTCAGTAAAACATGGCTTCTTTTTAAGATTTTTCCCTTTGGAGATTTGGAGTTTAATTTATATTCAGTTTACTGCAGCCCCCGTTGTGTTGTGGCACTCTGCCTTGATATAACAGTGTGGGCAAGTGAGTTCCGTTGTGAGAGTAGCATGACTGGCACAAAGAGCAGCATTCTGCTCACTCCCATGGCCAGGCACTAGTACTTGTTTTAATGCCAGAACTTAGAACCAGAGTTCCACTTTTCCCTGTCAGGTGCTCATGGTTTCCTGACTCAGCCTTGTTTCCTCACATAGATCACTGTCGTTTGCATGGTAGTGACATTTAAAAATGTGTGTGTGTGTGTACGTGTGTGTGTTTTAAACTCACTCCCCAGTTTAACTCTTTAGCATGGTTGATAATGAAAGCAGTATATTGTATAGTCTGAAGAATTTGTCTTTTTTCTATAATAGGAACAATATTTATGTCATCTGTGTCTATAGGAAACAAACTTGAGCCAACACTTAACAGTGAAGTTTTAGCTCAGACCTGAAACCTTTTGTTGTGTTAGGTATATTGCCTTGTCAGGAGTAATGTAAATTTTCTTAATTTGTAGAGGATAAGGAAGTTAATTTCAGGTATGTTGATAATACTCCAAGGAGTAATAAAAATATGTTAATCACTTATGATTTTAACAATGTAATTAAAACATTATACATGATCACTACATAGCTAAAGGTTCCTCAGTTACAAGTTGTTTCAGTAGGTTCCATCTGTTTTATGTCTTCTTGTATTATGGCCCTTGCTAATCACTGTCTCTTAATTTGTAAGTAATAAGGAGGCAGTTTGTTTCAGCTGCACTGAAAAGTTTCAAAAGATAACTATACTGAGAATCTACAGGACTCATTGACTATGAAAGTTAGAGAATCATTTAAGAGCCTGTGTTTTAAGTCAGGGAGTTAGTAGGGGACTGTTAGAGAATACTAGAATAGACATGAACAGATGTAGATTTTAGTGCTGAATATGTCTCTGTTACTATTGTCATGAGCAAGTCTTTTAACTTTCCTGGATCTAAAATGTTCTCATCTGAAAAATTAAAGAGGTAATTTGCAAGGGCTCAAATCAGTGTTAAGTGATAATGATAAATATGAAATAATGGTGACCCTTAATACAGAATACTGAAAATAAGTTCCTACCTATATTTTGTAAGTCCCAAGTTCCTGTAGTTTATTAGTGTGTTTTTTTTCTGGATTTTTATATTTATTTCTTATATACTTTCAGAACATTACTTCATATCAACTTCTTGGCACCTTTATTTATGGTTCTGCTCTGGGTAAAACCAATCACCAAAGACTACATTATGAACCCACCATTGGGTAGAGAAAGTGTCCCTTTGTAAGTATGGGTATTTGAGGACTACTTTTTGTTTCATTATATAATCAAAACTGTTTTCCAAAATACTATTTAAATTTTTTAATGATAGGACACTATTTTTAAAACATTAATAGAAATGCTAAAAAATGGGTTACAAAGTTGAAACTATAGGTCATTGTTTAACCATTTTGTGATCTTTATTAATGAAAACGAATGATTATTACCCTGTACTAGTGTCTTACACACTTGTAAGATTTTTCTGCTTTCTTATTTAATATTCAGTTGTTAACCTTTTTTCTGTTCTTGTGCCTATTTTGAAGTTGTGCCTATTGTGAAAACTCCGGAGGAAAAATGTGTGGTATAAATTAAAATTCTCATCTCATATATATATTCAACTCCTATAAGAGTTAACATTTCTGTATTTTTTTGTTTTGTATTTTGATGAAGTAGTTTTTCAAGTAAATTAGAGACATAACTCTTTTACCCCTCAGTTCTTTGTAATGCACCTCTCAAAAAAAGGACATTTTCCTATACAACAATATTATCACACCTATCAAATTTAAAAATCACATCTTAACATTACTGTCTAATACTAGGTAATACTTCCCCATTAGAAAACTATATTTTAATAGAAGATTATGGTAAGGAAATAAACATTTTATTGAAAGGTATTAATAACTGTACCTGATACGTTAACTCATTGGACTTACAGAACTATGTTGGAGTAATAGAAAGATTCAGAAAGAACTGGTTCCAATCCCAGTTCTGATCTTCAATAAAACTATCACTGGAGGGAGATTATTTAACTTTGCTGAGCCTCTGTTTCCCCATCTGGAAAATGAAGATAATAGTATGTACCTCACAAAGTTATCATTGGAATTAAATGAAAGAACACATGTAATGCAACCAGCTGTAAGTGCTTAATGTTCTTTCACTGCTTTGCCTCATCAAAATTAAAATTGAAAACCTTGGCTAGTATGCATTTTATTTTGTGTATTTCTTTTATAACCTGGTACAAATTTGCCTTGGATATATATTCAATGATGATCATGACTTTTTTTTTTAAGGCTTTAATCTTACTGAACTAGGGAAGTATCCATTGAAGTTGTGGTTTTTTTCCCCATAAATTGAGCCTTAATGATAATTTTAACTTGACAGATTTACTAAGTATTTAAAAGTAAACCTAAGGATCCAAGGGTTCTAGACAAAATCTCAGAAACTTCTAACTCATGTTTTTGATCCTGAAAGCATTCCCAGTCCTTCCTTGAAGTTTGGTCATAGAAATTAGATTTTATCCTCCTGTAATTATGTTCTCTCATTTTATGTTTGCCTTAATTTAATTAGTAAAACAAGGAAACTAGCATTTATGATCCATCCATCATAAGTCAGTTATTATGCTAGGTATTGAAACTTTACATATTTTATCTCAGTCATTCTTACAGTAATTCCCTATTTGTGATTGCTGTTTTCAGCCCGTTTTATAAATGAAATAAGAAATTCAGAAGTTAAATAATTTGGCTAAGGTTATTCAGCCAGATTTGGAGTATATAAAGCATTTAGTGGTTATACCAACATTTCTTTCCCACTTTTAGCCTGACTAAACTTTTGCAGATTAGTAGTAAATACTATGCTTAAAGGAAATGGGGATAAGGAATTTTTCCTTTGGGTATATATTAAATTACAGAAAAAATTTTGTTATGCACAAAGACTTAGGATCCTGTTCCTATAGCTTTGTTTCCTTTGTACTATCCCCATTTCTGACCTGCTTCATAAACATTCTTACCTTTGCTCCATCCTATTGTGTTTTGTCAGACCATTATATTAAGTGGTTAGATAAAGGAGATTTTTTATTTTGTTTGAAATCCAAAGTCCATGTGGTAGATTGAGAAAGAATGGCTGCCTATCAATCAAAGAGAATGAGATGAAGAAGAAAGCAAATGACAGGTTCTTCGTCTGTCACATCGACTAAATGCTTTGTGGAAAGTTCTTTTTTTGTAGGCAGAAGCAAAAATGGTTAAAAAGCAATGTCAACATGAAAATGTATTTAAATCCATCCATGTGTTCTGATTTGGCATCAAAAAATAAAATGTGGGCAGAGTCCATTTGTGCTTGTGCCCTTGTAAGAAGAAAACCAAAAGAGAAAGTATACAGTAAAACCTAGAATGGCGTTAGTAATTTGGAGAAATTTCTTCTGTGTGTTCTTCACCTCTATGTTTTATCCCAGCTCAGTCTCCTTCCTGAGATATCCCATCAGATGAACTAACCAAATCTTTTCTATGAAGTTAGTTAAATAATCTGAATTTGAAGGTAATGTTTAATGACTATTATCTTAAAATCCTGAACTGCTCATAAACTGAGCAGTTAACTTTTGATTCATTGCCTTATTCCATTCTCTTCATTTCTATTATCTGTTACTGTCAAAGTCTGTCTTATAGCTGTCTTGAGGATGCTACCAGTCAAACCTCCGTATTGTACAACTCCAGGGATCTCTTCATTTCTATTATCTGTTACTGTCAAAGTCTGTCTTATAGCTGTCTTGAGGATGCTACCAGTCAAACCTCCGTATTGTACAACTCCAGGGAGCCCAGTATACAGGCCATCTGGAAAGGTTCAAGGCTGTGAATGACCTCACGTCTTGTGTACTTTCAGTCTCACATGAATGACTTGTTATTTCATTGTTCACTATAGTGGAAATGTGTTGGTGAAAAGTTATGCCTTTATTCTTCCTAGTCAACCGTGCTTTTCCATTGAAATTTTATATCACATGTTAAGTGCCTAATGTGATTAGAATAGATGCCCAGCATCGTCTAGACATGACTTTTTAATTACAGTGTTACACTTTATCAAAGCAGAAACCATGATCTTCTAAAAACATTAAACCCCAAAGGATATCAGAAGTTATCTCCTTTTTAACGTCCTTTAATGCGTCCTTCTCTAGTAGTATAGTTTCTGAAAAAATGTCTGAAGGATACATCTTCTCACCTGGAATCCTAACTGTAGCCTTGAGGAATTGCTCAGAACTGAGCCAGCTTCAGCATATCACAGGTTAAATTAACTTGTTGGAGAGGAATCTGAGGCATCTGATTTTTTCATAATAAATCAGAATTCTTGCTTTTCCAATGATCCCAATCAGGAATTTGCAGAGTGAAAGATCCTATTTGAATATCTATATAATGAGACAAAATTCAAGCCAGTAATAAGTGGGTTATTGACTTCATAGTTCCACAGGCAATCTGTGGTTTCCTTTCTCCTTTTCTCTAAGATCACCCAACTTTTCTTATCATTTCACAATCAATCTTGGTTTCCTTTCTCCTTTTCTCTAAGATCACCCAACTTTTCTTATCATTTCACAATCAATCTGTATTCCATGGAGGAGGGTGGATAAGGAAGAGGATCTCAAGTATTGCTCCACATTTTTCTTCTAGATATCTGTTACTACTTTACTTTTATGATAATTTTATCTGCCTGGTTCTGTTATGCAAGTGAAACTATTATATAGTTAAGTCTGTAGTAGAGTAGGATACTTTTTGTTTTATACTTTCACTGTGGCTGAGTATAGATTTCCTATAGCTCATATAGAGTGAACATTGGCATGTGTAACTGTGCTGGCATATTTTGGTCTTTGAGAGCACCATATCAACTTTTTTGTCTGTAGAATGACAGAAGCTACATTCGATACTCTGCGACTCTGGCTAATAATTCTGCTGTGTGCTTTACGGTTGGCCATGATGCGTAGTCACCTGCAAGCTTACTTAAACTTAGCCCAGAAATGTGTGGATCAGATGAAGAAAGAAGCAGGGCGTATCAGTACAGTTGAGCTACAGAAAATGGTAAGTTTTACACTGTAGTCAGAATAAGAAATAGCAAATGCTATGAGGTAAGTAAAACAAATACTTGGTTTCCTTTAACAGTAATTTCACCCCAAAATATTCTTATTGTAAATAAATGGAATAACCTTAAATTGATAGCTGTAAAAGAGACCTTGATCTGAGTTTGGCTAAGTGAGGAGAGGGTCTCAGTTCCTCTTCCGGCCTTAAGTGCTCTAAATATCCTGCAGTTTGGGTTACAAAGCTATAGTATATCTACTATTGCTAAATGCGACTCCCAAATTGATTTGAAAGATATTACAGATATTATTGTCCAGCCTTTATAACTCTACGTTTTAGTGATTAAATTTAATCCTTTTAACATTATTCCAAATACTTGAATATGAAACATAAATAGTTAATTTAATGGGGAGTCCAGAGAAGGAAAGTACTAGGAATCCATCCACCTTGATAGTAGACTGGATCTATAATCCAGTCATTGGGTATTGGGTCCTCGTTTTTTATTCTCCCTTATAGTTAGGAGTATTTATCAAGATTCAGGTTTTGTTCTGTTTTGCCTTTTGTATGTTTTCATACTTTCCACAATTTCACCTCAGTTGAATGTGTTCATATGGAATGGGGATTAAAAGGTTTTTATTTATGAGGGGTTTATGCTCACATATGACTGCCTATTGTTTAATTTGATGTTTTAGGTGCTGTCTTTAGAGATTTTATGAAATGTATGTGAATAAAAAACACTGAATTTTAGTGGTTATTTTCTCCAATAATCACTTACAAGCTATTTTTAAGGAATTTAATGTTTTCACATTTTAAAAAACATCTTCAAACTGAGCTTTTCTAAAGTCAGTTGTGGGGCATTTACATTGAAGTGTAAAACACTACCATTTAGCTTCCTTCCCCTGAAAGGATTACTTAGCTTTTAGACAATTCAGTTCGACAATTATATGAAAGTTTAATTTGTTCATAGCATGTCAGCTGTATTAAACACTTAAGAATATTGTTGGTTGCAGGTTGCTCGAGTCTTTTACTACCTTTGTGTCATTGCACTGCAGTACATGGCTCCTCTGGTAATGCTGCTTCATACAACGCTACTTTTGAAAACACTAGGTAGGCCTGCTCTGGCAACTGGGAAACATGGTTTGTTTTCTACCTATAACTGATAATGCTTTTTGTTACCTATGAAGAAATACATCCCTTAAAATTGTTTGTCACTTTAAAAGTTTTAAGAAGAAACATGGGAAAATTTTATCTCTAGAAGTTGATTTGTTATCTTGGTTTTGAAAACTCAGGCCGATACTATTTTAGAACATGTTTTACTTAGAAGAATTGTTTGCTAACTGTTAACTCCCTAATTATTGAGTTACCTAAGTGAACACCCTTGATCTTAGTTATTTTGGGTGGTAAGAGGATGATTTAAGATTTTGTTATTAAACAAGGTACTTGCAAATTTATATGAATTACAGAATTCTCTGGTGAGTTCTACTTTAGATAACTTAGGTTAATAAAGATTTCTCAGTGGAAGAACAAAGTTCTCCTTATAAGTCTGTTCACTTATAAGCTATCAAGTCCCTGTAATTATTCAAGAAGTATCTTAGATGAGACAGTCTGCCAATGTAGGGGCTTAAGAACTCCAGAAGAACTAAAAGTTTTATTTGAGTAGGCTTAGTAGATACCACAGAGCTGATGATAGATGTAAATGTCCTTTAGGAATCTATGAAACATAAAGGAGTAGCTCAGTTGTAAATTATGTGACTCATATCCTATCCAGCATAAGAAAGTATCTGATGAAAAAATTTCTAGAAGCTATTAATAGCCTCTCACTGAAGTCATTGATAATTTCTGAGAAAGAAATTTATTCTGATATTCTAGAGGTAGAAAAGATTTCTAAGAAGTTACTGAGTCTTTCCTTGTTACTCCAGTAGAGGTAGTTGATTCATGTATTATACAAGGAAAAAATTGTTTTTATTATTTTACCATATTTTAATGCAGTTAATTAAAAGTAAATTAGACTTTTTACCTTTTATGTGTACTTTCACTGATAAGGCCAGAATGTAGTCTGGTCAAGTTAAGTGAATTTTTTTACCAGGTTATAGACAGATTTACTATTTTACTTATATTTTCAATGTAAAATAATTTGCTATGCTACTAAATTTCTTGTTCTTAATTTCAAATATAAGTTAAAGAAGTTAGTTACTCTTCACATTTTATTTGCATCTTGAATTTTCTAGGTAATCATTCCTGGGGGATCTATCCAGAATCAATCTCTACCTTGCCAGCAGATAATAGTCTGTCCTCCAATTCTGTTTATTCTGAATTACCATCTGCTGAAGGGAAGATGAAGGTAACTGTTACACAAATAACAGTGGCACTAAGCAGCTTAAAAAACATTTTCACTCCTCTGCTTTTTCGAGGACTTCTGTCTTTTCTGACCTGGTGGATTGCTGCTTGTCTCTTTTCTACAAGCCTTTTTGGGCTTTTCTATCACCAGTATCTGACTGTGGCATGAATCTCAGTTAGCAAAGTGGATATCCAAGTCACACTTTGAATTCAAACATTTGTGCCCTTGAAGGGCTGATGAAAACCAGAAGAAAGCAAAATCAAAGGCAAACAAGAAACATATCAGAATATCTTACTTTAAATGCTTCCTCTGTATCCTCAGGGTGAATTAATGGTATAATATTTAAGATTACAGAATAGATTATTAACTACTATACTGTGGCATTGGAATTTTAACTCCTTGTATTAACTGATGTGAGAGGGCTATCTACAAGGGTGATACTTCTGATTACCTTGGTTTACAGAAACTTCTAGCAGTCTTGAAACTTCTCATATGACTTCAGTTATTGATTGATTGCTCTTAATGGTATTAAGGTACTGTTAATATTCCTAGTGGCTACCTATAGAACAATCTTCAAACTGAGCCGTGCTTTAGGGGAGGGAAAGGAGCTAAAGTTGCTTCTGTTGGTAATGTATTAGTCACTCTTCAAACAATAATTGCAAAATCCAACAGAAAGAAAGAAATAGCTACTGTATATTACAGTAAAGAAAGCTGCATAGTAATTTTAAATTTAATGGAAATGTACATGCTTACTGTCCACAAGTACTGCTGCTTAAGAGTAGCAAGAGTATTGTTTTAAAAGGTATTCTGTCCAACTTGAGGGATCTTTTAAAAGGATTGGCTATATGAACATTTGCAATCTTGCTGTTAGGTTTGGACTCCCATATTTTATTTTATTCTATGATCCTAAATATAGTTCTTTTTAATAGTCTAAAAATATTTATCAATATTGATCAGACTTAAAAAAATTTCTTTGGAATCCTGCTGACTACCTGTATGTATTGTATATATATTATATATTAAATATATAATATATTGAGATGATAAAAGGTAAAAATATTGGATCCTTATAATATTTTAAGTTGCTGAATGTATGTTAAAATGTGATTGAATGAGATGTATTTGTATCTAGAAATTTTCTTTTTGGAATGAGATTAAAATACATTTTAGAAGTTCATCCGAGTAAGCAATTTATTTGTTGCCTGTGTATGAGAGTACTTAATATTTTATAAATACTTAGATATTTTTCCCAAGTTAAAATCATTTTTCTGTCACTTTCAAAAACAGAACCATTCCCACTCCAACCTACAGGTATCATTTAAACCCCTGTTAATTAAATAAGACTTGTTTTAAATTTGTAGTGTTTAAAATTATAAATACTAAAATTTAAATAAGACTCTTCTTGATGGTTTTTATATCTAAAACCTCAAATGAATGATTACAGTTATAAAGGGAATGAATATAAGAGATAAACAGGTTTTTGTTTTTTTTTTTGAAGAAGAATTTTTAGAAAGACTTCCATACAACTTTCTTGAGAGGCTGTATATTACATTTCAGTGCTATGATCACTATTGGAAGCAGTTTTGAAACTGTTCTTTTGGAATTACTTAACAAGGTTTGTGGTCCACATTCATTTGACTAATTTCAATACAGCAGATTCCTGCTTTTGGTATAAATTAAATATTTTGGAAGAAGTTGCTATTTTTAGTAAGTACTTAAGTTGGGTTAAAACTCTTTGGTTGAAAGTAATTGTGACTAAAGCCTAATATCATAGTTCATGTGTATTTCCAAAAGACGCATCCCAAATATATCTTGAGATATATCAGCATCCATAGAATAAGTTCCTTGTAACAAGGTTATAGCTAAGTATGACATTTATTTTTTACATAACGTTTACCACATGTTGGACTTGAAAAGAATCTCACCTGGTATTTATAACATTTTTATTAAAGAGCCACATTTAAAAAATTGTAATTGAAGTTATTATTTTGAGTTTCAAAGATTGTACTGTGGAGTAATGTGGGAGAAAAATGGCGTAGAATTCATTATTGGATGGAATAACATGTATTTCTAAAATACTATTGATTCACTCTTTTTAAACTTGAGTTCTCCCTAAGTATACTAAGAACTTGTACAAACTGCATATTAATTTAAGCGATGGATTTGGTTTAGGTTTCGTTAGCCTTTCACAGCAAATCTGAAGACAATGACGGTTGTAACTATTAACTGGCTTATTTAAGCATTTTGTCTTTATACCAGGAATTATGTTAAGTGTAAAAGGGTTTGTACTGTATTTAAGCCAAATAATTTTTTGAGATATAACTGATATATAATGTTTTAGTTTTAGTTTGATCTACACATATATTGTTAAATGATTCCAAATAATTCTAAAATTCTAAATTAAGCCAGCAGAATTTTTAAATTTTTTATGTTGAATCCTAGTCATTATAAATGCTTGAAAGGTCAGTTATTTTTATTTTATATTTTGGCCAAATTAACTAGGAACCATTATAATCTTGCTTTATAGGATTTGTGAAAATTTATTTGACAATTTGTTGATTACTTTCCCTCCTACTCCCCTACCCCCAATGAATTGCACTATAAAAATCAGAGCTCTCTTCTCCCGACTACGCCTTTTGGTTTGTCTGAAATGAAAAGCATATAATTTTATCTTAATATCCGTATGCATTTTGATTATCTTTGGTACTTTCCCCAGAAGTCCAGTTGCTATGCATAAATGACCAGTGCATCCAAGCAGAATGGACTCAGACTCATTGTCTTATTGTTTCTGATATAAATATCATTGGTAAAATAGTAACATTTCTTACTGAGTTATGATTCAGAAGAGATATTCATCCATTAATGGAATTGATAGGTCCAGGAAGCAATAAGTGGAATTCACTATGAAATCTATAATTGGAACTTCACTAGATAGATTTTATTCTTTCAAATGAAAGATTAAATTCTCAGTACTGCAAAGCATAGGGTCTCAACATTCTCTGAATTCATACACTTTCTGAGCCACCTCATAATTGAAAATGGTCTATCATGCTATATGTCTCTATTCAAAATAAAACTAAGTGATTTTTGAATGTGGATCATCCTGTGTCTTCACAGAGCTTTAGGTGGCTTAAAGAATCAGATTTAAACACACTTATGATCCTAGAGCTTGTACCCAGTGTCTCAAATAGTCATACAGTCTCATCTTTTAACTCCCACTCTTCTCATTATGTCTATACCCTGGGTTTTTAGCTGCGCTGATTATATGCCATGAAAAGTCTGACATGGACACTGAGGATGATCAAAAGCTAATGTCAACCTTTCCATTCTTTAAAATGGTAAACATTTTACTTATTTTTGTTTTCTTCATAAAAAAAAAGTAAAACCAAATAGAGCCTGTTCATATGCATGTCTAGGTGGGCTTGTCTTTGATAATTCAGAGGGAGTGTGTTTTTTTCTATTGTTGTTTTTCTTTTCTTTCCCTTTTAATGCCCTCTGTGTGGTTAGTCCTCCTCTTTCTCCCATTTGGCAAATGACTATTCATTATCTTAAATTGGAGTAGCAGCATAATTTTGTGGAAAGAATATTAATATAAAAGTGAAGAAACATCTCATCCCATTTCTGCCTGCAACTACCTTTGCACTTACTAGACATTCAACCCATACTAATTAAATGGAACTGAATTATCACTGTTGACCTCAGTTTTATCATATGTACAATAAAAGAGTTTACATGTATGACTATATATTTCTAAATTTGAGATCAGTTTCTCTGTGTTAGCATGAGAAAAGGTAAGTAGTTGTTTTTGGTTTCAGGAATGGTTACATATTATGTTAGAGGACAGTGTTAGTTGAAAATGAATTCACAAAGAGTGTTTTCTCCTAGAATATTTTGGTTTATACTCATTTAATTATTTGTTCAGTAAGTATTTATTGAGTGCTTATAATATTCCAGAACCTACACCCTATATATGGCAGCAAACAAAGCATCAAAATCACTGCCCTCCAAGAGCTTAGAGTCTAGTGGGAGGGTATGGCTCTAAACAAAGTAAATATGAGTCAAATGTAGGATATGTGAGTGGTAAAAGATCTAAGCAGGGAATGGGGAGCCAGGAAAGGGAAAGTATGAAGCTGTTGGGTGGGGGTAGAGAGAAAATTTTAAATAGAGCATTGAGGGTAAGCCTCACTGAGGTGATTTCTGAGTAATGGCCTGAAGTACATGAGGACCATCATAATGTTTTTTTCTTATATCAGTGTAGTTCGTTGGTCAACAAACACTCTTGATTGTTTGGACTTTGCTAATTCTGAGTTTGCTAAAAAAATTTTTTAAAAGATGGACAATATTGTATTATTTACAACAGCCAAGATATGGAAGCAGCCAAAGCATCCATCAATAGATAAATGTTTAAAGAAGAGGTGGTACATTTACACAATGCAATATTACTCCAATATAAAAAAGAAGGAAATCCTGCCGTTTGTGACAACATGGATAGACCTAGAGGGTATTCTGTTAAGTGAAATAAGCCAGGCAGAGAAAGACAAGTGCCATATGATCTCACCTATATGTGGAAACTAAAACCAGAAAAAACCAAAATGAACAAAAGAGCAATACTCAAAGATACCGAGAAGTGACTTGTGGTTACCATGGAGGAGGGGTTGGGATGGGTGGATGAAGGTGGTGAAGGATAAAAAAGGGAAAAAAAATCTCAATCATAATATAAACTAGTCACAGGGATGAATGTACAGCATAGAGAATATAGTTAGTAGTTCTGTAACATCTTTTATGTTGACAGTAACTACTAGGTGGGGTGAAGATTTAATATGTGTATAATTGTTGAATCACTGTGTTATATACTTGAAACCAATGTAATGTTGTGTAGCAAAAAGAAAAAAGATGGGCAGTATTATATATTCTCCTTGTCAGTTGGTGTGTTGAACAGGAAAGATAATAGCCTTTCAGCAAATACAATCTCCGTAGTCCACTTTCTGTAGTTTCTCTGTCAAGTGCTTCTTAATTCAAACATGTTTACATGTTATTTCAGTAGAACTTTTAAAAACTCCAAGGGTTTCAAGTGTTGTAGGACCCTAAAGCAGTATGATGTGTACATTGGCAGACAGATTTTACTCCCCATTCTTTAATCTGTCAGAAAATCTTTTACGCAAAGGGAATTATACAAAGAGTAATATGTTCAATTTCAATTAATAACATCTTACTGATATTTCAAATGTATAACACAGTTTGAATATACTAAATATCCATCACTGAAATATTAAGAATAAAGGAGATGTATTTTTTTAAATTAAGGTATCATTGATATACAATCTTACAAAGGTTTCACATGAGCAATATTGTGGTTTCAGCATTCCACCCATATTATCAAGTTCCCCCTCAACCCCATGGCAATCACTGTCCATCAGTGTAGTAAGATGCTATAGAGTCATTACTTGTCTTCAAAGGAGATGTATTTCAAAAATAGTTCTCTGAAAAATTTAGCTTTAATATCTATTTTGTTTATTTGGAGTATATTTTATTTTATGTTATTCTACAGTGAAACAATATGCTTAGGAATAGAATAGAATATTTGAAAAGTCTAAATGAAACTATGTTAATGGAAGCACCTTAAGTAGCAATGATAAGATGTGAATTATAGTAATTGTTTATGTATGTATTTACTTTTTCATTTCTACTTTAAAAAAATTTTCTTAGAGCATGAAATGATTTTTTCCAAATATTTAAATTTATATCATTATAATAGATGATCTGTTAACTGTTTTGGATAAATAGCTGATGTCCAAAGTTGATAATTTGTCAATTGAGTAGTCTTTTGAAATTGAATGTCAACATCAGAGGAAAAACTGAATTACAGAAATAAAACAAATTTTTTTAAATTTAATCACTAAATTTTTAGAAATTTTTTTGTAAAAATTTTTTTGATTCATACTTTAAAAATGGGGAAAGCAGTCATTTCAACTGTTGGCCCTAGAATAGTTGGATATCCACATTTTAAAAATTGAACCCCAATCCCTCATATATGGTATGTTAATACTTCATACTACATACAAAAATTAATTCAATGATCATCTATATATACCTCATTGTAAAAGCTAATACCATAAAGTTTTCAGAAGAATTAATGAAAGGATAGTTTGATAATTTTAGGGGTGG